CAGACAAACGGCCGGCCGGCGGGAGGTTTTTCCTTTAACTCTTCACAACTTTGTTCTTTCCACAACATTTGTTACGGCGACGAGAGGTCTCCGGCTCCGGGCTCAGGCTGCACATGTGTCCGTGTTCCCCTCAGTGTCCGTCACTGGGACCCCCAAGTGTCAGTGTGTCATTGTTCTGGGACCCCCAAGTGTCAGTGTGTCATTGTTCTGGGACCCCCAAGTGTCAGTGTACCATTGTTCTGGGACCCCCAAGTGTCAGTGTACCATTGTTCTGGGACCCCCAAGTGTCAGTGTACCATTGTTCTGGGACCCCCAAGTGTCAGTGTACCATTACTCTGTGTGGGACCTGTAGCATGCATTGTGTGTTGGGCAGACAGGATTTTATACCTCTGATGTTTCGGGTCTCAATCAGTTCTCAGTCTATTTTATGATCTTCTGCTATAAGAAAGTTTGTACATGACCTGTATCAGACATACTAATGCGGCACTCACTAACTCTGTCCCTTTCTGTTGCAGAGAATACACCAAATCTCAAAGTCTTGTTTGGAACACCCGAATTTGTGGCCCCTGAGGTGATCAACTATGAGTCCATCAGCTATGCCACGGACATGTGGAGCATCGGGGTCATCTGCTACATTCTGTAAGTTCTGTGTGCAATTGTGTTCCCATAAACTCTCCAGATACTCCCCGGTCCTCCCAGCGCGCTCTGTACATGGGATGTCCGCTAAACCCGTCCCAGTCACGTGTTCGGTCGGGGTCCGGAGCCCACCCTGCTGCGCCATCTCCTGCCCAGCTAAGTGCTTCATCTCTTTGATCCGTTTACTTTTGCATTCCGAGCAGGAAATTGTTTCCACTGTCTGTCGGAATGAATCTCATCCTTATACCTTAAAATGGTTATTAGAGCGGCTGCGAAGTGTAGCCGGAATGTTTCCTGCCGCTCATCCAGAGGAGACGAGATTCATAGCGGAACCATTTATAGAATCTCTCAACAAATACATTATTTCAATAAATAACCAAATAATATAACAAATGTATCTCTTCCCTCAAAGGGATAAAGGGAAAAGTTATATTCCCCAGTGCTGACACCAAGTTACTGAACATCACATACTGGATATACATATGTAACTCTATACAGTCTATATTACTGTAACCTTTCCTAAAACGATGTTACCAACATCACAAGTGCTGAAAGCATTTAACTTTATATTTTTACAGATTAAAAAGAAATGGAATTTCTTTTTAATCTGTTGCGATAGAATTGTTCGAAGGTTTGATTAATTAGCCTTGGGTCGGAAGTAACTGTCCCTTGCTCTGAATTGAATGGCCGCTGTCACCTGTGTGGGGTTGATGGACGGCCCAGTAGATTCCTGGCTTGGTAGAGAGCCGGATGAGGTTCCAGGCCCTCGGAGCTTTCGACCCTAGTTAATGGGTGGGCTCCGGCGGAGGGATCTCTGAAGGTGAACTATCTCCTGATGGGAATGGATACGAGGCTTGGTCGAGGCTGGAGGGTTGGGGGCGGCAGAAGCCAGTGGTGTTGTGCCCCCTCGGGGTGGCGTCCCAGGGGTGCTCAGGAAGTCACTTGGGTGTGGGACCCCACTTTGACTCACTGTGCACTTGGTCACACACCACATTGCTTATTTCTGCACAACGCCTCTTGGACAGGCCTTATGGCTAGTCCGGGGCAATTTTTTTGCACTCGGCCCCTAAGGCCTGTCAGCGTGGTGCACTGGCACTTTATTATTTATTGCACTTAATGCACGATTGGCACGATTGGCTTTTTTTAAAGCATAGTTTGACCCACAGATGCGGAAGGTGCAGGTTTCTTCGGGGCCTATTCCTGACGCTGGGAGGAGATTCTGTGCCTCCTACGGGGTTCTCTGTCTCCTCCCACCCAGGAGGGGGGTTTCTCTTCGGGTGATCCCCCCTGCCTAGTACTGTGTGGGACCTGTTTCGGCAGGTCCCCGACGGAAATGGTCCACCGGCCTTCGGGTTGGTGGGCCAACAGTCTCAACCCCTGTCAGGAGCCTTGTGCCCCCGGGGGGTCGGGAAAGTAGGTCCCTTCTTTTGAAGGACCTTGCACCCTTGTGCACGTTTTTGTGTGCTGTGATTTCACGGTTCACTTTTTTTGTTCACAGGGGGGAAGTTTGTTTTGATGCACGGCCACGGGCTTCGATAAAAAGAAAAAAAAAAAAATGGAATAATTATAAATGTTAAAATAAAATAAAACATTGACATATAATTTCCAAAAGCTCCCATATGATGAGGGGGATGAACCCCTCTTATACACAAGCATGTAGTAAAGTTCACTTTATGGTCCTTCAAACTCTTTGCACTTTTCTCTAAGTGGTCACCAAAATGAATCCTTCATGAAAGTTTCATACGGCCCAAACAATATATTATATCTCACGGTTCCCAGCTCAGCACCGCCAGAATTTTGGGAAGAGTAAAAACAGAAGTCTTTATCGTGTCCATGTGACCCTCCACAGGGACCGCATGTGTGAGATCTGGGATCAGGAAGCCAGTCTTGTCGGTGGGTCCCCCCTCCGCCATACACAGTGACCGTGTGAGCTCAGTTGTTTCTGAGAGGACAGCTCAAATGATATAGTCTTATGTTAGGAAAGGCCATACCCCCCTTGCCCCTCGGCAGACACAGCTTTTGCAGTGAGATCCTCGCCTTTTTTCCTCTCCAGGTAAAAGCTAGGAAGGCTTTGTTTAAAAGTATTATGTCTTTATGCTTCAGAAGGAGAGGTAACGTTTGCTTAGGGTACAAAAGTCTAGCAAATGGAATCATTTTTATTAGATGTATTCTGCCAAAGAGCGAGAGCGGAAGGTCCCTCCACAGGTGCAGCTCATTGCGAATTTTTTCACAAAGGGGTGGATAATTCAAATTGTATAAGGAAGAGGGGGTTTTACCAATTTGTAGACCCAGATAAGTGATGGAACCCTTAAGGTGCCCATACACTGCACGATTCTCGTAGGAGAATGGCGGGAAATCCCGCGATCGTACGAGAATCGTGCAGTGTATGGAAGGCATGCGACCGTTTCTACTGTACGGTCGCACGTCTTCCATCGAACCTGCATGTTTGAAAACCCGCCGGGAATCGTACGATTCTCGGCGAGTCGGTGGCCTGCTGGTTCGACAACTGCCGAACGGGCCGGTGTGCGCACGCGCACACTGCCCGTTTGCAGTCAGCGTAAGCCCGCCCCTCATTACAGTCATCGCAAGCCCGCCCCTCAGGGGGCGTGGCTTGCGATGATCGAGAGTGCGATCTGCCTGTCCAAGATGGTGCAGATCGTACGTTTTTTTAATCCCTTTACAACCATCGCAAGACTAAGGTCTTGCGATGGTTGTACAGTGTATGGCCACCTTTAGCAATACTGAAGATATGCGATGAGCATGAGGCAATTGACGCTGGCGAGGTCAGAGGTAGGACAATCGACTTAGAAGCATTAATTGTCAATCCAGAGAACTGCTTATATCTCAGAAATATGGTCTGGATGAGGGATAGATCACGGGAGGGGTTGCTGGAGAACAGTATTAGATCACCAGCGAAGAGCATTATCTTTAGTTGCGATGTGAGAAAAGGAATCCCAGAGATGTCTGGGGTGCCCTGGAAATATAGTGACAATGGCTCCAAATAATAATGGCGAGCGGGGACATGCTTGCATGGTGCCCCTCAATAGTGGGAAGCTGGTGGAGATATGCCCCGGCGTACAAATACGAGCACTGGGAGAGTCACAAAGCGATGACAAAAATGTTTTGAAGCAACCAGAGAATCCCATCTCATCCAGTACTCTAAAGGGCCAAGGAAATTGAATACTATCAAAAGCCTTTTCGGCGTCAATTAAGATAAGGGCTAAGGAGCAGGCCGTATGGCTTTTGGCATATTCTAGGACTGACAACAATTTACGGATGTTGGAGACGGCCGATCGTCCTTTAATGAAGCCAACCTGGGCTGGGGAGATTAATTGTGGCAGAAGTGTGGCGAGTCTGTCCGCTATGATTTCTGATAGTAGCCCGGCATCGGCATTAATGAGAGAAATTGGCCTGTAAGATCCTGGAAGGGTGGGATCTCTGTCTTTTTTGGGCAGTAATTTAACGTAAGCCTCCGTGCCCGTTCTCAAGTACTCTCCCCCTTGCCATATAGCGTTGAAGACCTTGTGCAATGTAGGTATGAGCTGGTCTTGTAGCATCTTAAAAAATTCGTTAGAGTACCCATCAGGTCCTGGGGATTTACCATTGGAGGAGGCTCCAAAGGCATTCAAGATCTCCTCCATGGATATATCATCATTAAGGGGGGAGAGATCGCCCGCGATTATCGTGGGCAGGGATACGGACCTCACAAAGGATTCGCCTAGTCCCATATCTATTGGGGTAACAGAGTACAGGTTGCGATAGAATTGTTCGAAGGTTTGATTAATTAGCCTTTGGTTGGAAGTAACTGTCCCTTGCTCTGAGCGTAAGGAGGAGCTATGGGACCTTTGGGTACGTTGTCTGGACATGTTTGCCAGTAATTTGCCTGACTTATTTCCAAATTTGTGGAAAGTAAGTTTAGAATGGGACTGATAGTACAAATATTGTTGGGAATTCCCCCGGTTAAAATACAATTTTCTCCTTTTAACCTGGTCTCCCTGTACTCTGGAGTATCGTGGTGCGAGGAGTCCTTTTGGGCTGCTCAGTTGTTTCAATATATCTGGAGATGTAAACCAATTCACTAAAATCTCATATCAGTTGGAACATGTTGATGTCATTATAAAAGTCATTTCCTATATTTTTAAATCTGCAGCTTTCATTTAAATAATGGCATGTAGACAGGAAGTGCTGCAAAGAGGCTTCCGCAATCTGTATCTCACAGTGCTGACAGCGGCTCCTGTATAGGAAAACTTTATTCATAAATACATTGAAATAGTATATTTGTTACCAGACGGTCCATTCTTCTCTTATGGCAGGTTAGCTGACTTCCACCATTTGTTCTCCCGTGGTGCCCTCTAGTGGCTGGTTGAGGGATTGCTGTAAACTACAATCCATGATACTTTTTTTTAATTGTCACTAGCAGTTATTTTTTCAGGGCAAGCTTTTGGGGATCTGCCCCCCCCCCCCCCCCCCCTCCTATGTCCAAGCAGTTCTCATACACAAAATTTAGCAAAATGTGAGCAGAGGTTTGGCAACAAAGAAAAAAACAAAGTTCCATAATAGTAACCTGGAGTTACTCATTCAGTTACTAGGAGCCTCATCAGAGATGATTCTACAATGTAACGATTTCTCATATAGAACATATAGAAGTTCCGTCTCACGTTCTATAAATGGCAGGTCGTTTCTCTCACGGCTTTTCTCTCTTGCAGGGTGAGCGGTCTCTCGCCTTTTATGGGTGACAACGATAATGAGACGCTGGCGAACGTCACCTCCGCCACCTGGGACTTTGATGACGAAGCCTTTGACGAGATCTCGGAGGACGCCAAAATCTTTATCAGCAGTCTGCTTAAAAAAGATATGAAGTGAGTCCGCCTCTGCACCTCTGTCTCTTGTGTCACGTCTACAATAGGGAGGCATGGCGCCCGCTAGACTGTGATCCGACTTTCATCCAGTGAGTGCCATAGTGACTGTCAGTGGCCGGTGCCGTGGTCTGTACTTTTATTAATAAAGAACTCCTCCAGTACATCACATACTTCCTCATCACTGGGGAAGAGCTCCAAACCATTGCAAATTAAAGGCTCATGTATTATTATTATACAGGATTTATATGGCGCCAACAGTGTGCGCAGCGCTGTACAATATAATGAAGACATTACAATTATAATACAATTCAAGACAAGATGGTAAGGAGGGCCCTGACCCTGAGGGCTTACAATCTAAAAGGGGAGGGGCCAGTGATACATGAGGAGGGAGCTGTGTGGGGATGAATTGTCTGAGCGGTCAGGTTGAGGCGGGATCGGCTTCCCTGAAGAGATGAGTCTTAAGGGATCACCTAAAGGCAGTCAGAGTGGGAGATAGACGGACAGGTTGGGGTAAAGAGTTCCAGAGGATGGGAGAGACTGTAGAGAAGTCCCGGAGGCGAGCATGGGAGGAGCTGACGAGGGAGCTGGAAAGCAGGGGGTCTTTTGAAGAGCTGAGTTGACGGTTAGGGTGATATTTTGAGACCAGGTTTGTGGCTTTGTAAGTGATTGTTAATATTTTGAATGTTATCCTTTGGGTGAGTAGAAGCCAGTGCAGGGATCGGCAGAGGGGAGTGGAGGATGGAAGCCAGTGCAGGGATCGGCAGAGGGGAGCGGGGGATGGAAGCCAGTGCAGGGATCGGCAGAGGGGAGATTGGCAGAGGGGGGTGGGGGATGCAAGCCAGTGCAGGGATTGGTAGAGGGGGGTTGCAGACACTGTGCGGTTGGTTAGGTGAAGGAGTCTAGCAGCAGCATTCATGATAGACTGAAGGGGGGAGGAGCCTGTGTAGAGTTCGGCCAATGAGGAGGGAGTTGCAATAGTCAAGACGAGAGATAACAATGTACGCTGTGCTGGTCCCGGTCCCGTCACTCTCCAGCTACCTAGAGAAAAACAAATCCCAGTGAAACAGTTTGAGCCGCAGTGCTTTCTGGGTAACCTGACGCATGGTTCCTGACCTCTGTATTGTGACTCTTTCCTAACAGGAGTCGCCTGAATTGCACGCAGTGCCTGCAGCACCCCTGGCTACAGCAAGACATCAACACCATGGAGGCCAAAAAACTGTCCAAGGACAGAATGAAGAAGTACATGGCCCGGAGGAAGTGGCAGGTACATTGCCCATCTGCAGTGCATAGTAGCCCAGTGGCCAGTCATAGCATTCAGTAGTCGCAGTGCTCACTAAGGAGCCGGGAGACCGTTTCGGTGTCCCAGCCGTGAAGTTCAGTTTTTCGGATTCGGGTCATGTTCCGGCCCGTGCAGTAGATCTAGTGTTAGTTCCATGCGCTCTCCTCTGTGTTCCAGAAAACCGGCCATGCTGTGCGAGCTATTGGACGTCTGTCTTCCATGGCGATGATATCCGGCGCGGGTGGAAGGAAGTCTTCTGGAAGTTCCCCAACCAGCCCATTGTCTACAGAACCAGAGATCGGGGAAGGTGAGTGCAGGGGACTGCCACTGGTGAGACTTCAACTGAGAGAACAAGAGTTCATCAACATACAGTATATCCTTCACGCTACATGGGGCTGCGTGTAAAGCATGATCACGGTGGCTGGTGGGAGGGGCTTTCTGAAAACATTGCTGCACCCTGCCTCAGCACTCGTCTCCAGAGCCCTCAGCCCTGATGCAAGCAATGGGCCGGCTCTTGGGAGGAGTTATGCAAATATCTAAATGCCTTGTAGGGCAGGGGGGGGGGG